ATCCTGGTGGAGTTGGTGGGGGCAAGGCTTGATTTGGGTAATCATTCAGTGTCTGGCACAGAGTAACTGAGGAAAATACTGCTGGTGTTGTTATTGTTATTATTACATGAATCTCTCAATCTTAACGAATCCTTGACATTCTCCCCCAATGGGATGGGCACTTTGCTCCCCTTGAGGGTGAGCACCACCCTGTCCACCTCTGTGGCTCTGGTGTGGGGACACCAGCAGTCATGACAGAGGGGGTGCGTGACAGGCAGAAAAATGACCCCTTAAAGATGTCCACATCCTAAACCGTGGGGCCTGTTCTACAAAGAACTGCTAACAGCTGACGTTTGCACTATACTTGCGCTGTGCCCACGGTGACATGTTATCTCATTCAACCCTTACCATAACCCTGTGAGGAGAAAAGCTATCATCCCTGATGACAGAGGAACAAATGGAGGCACAGAGCACTTGCGTCACTTCTCATCATGTGACATGACATGGCAGCTATTTAGACCTGGACGGTAACACTCCAGAGTCCCTCCTCTTGCCCACCCTGTACACAGACTACTATATCAATCCACTGTTGTCATGTGTGAGGCCATTACACATCTCTCCAAAGCCCAGTGCTCTTTAGCCCCTTTTATGAATGAGGAACTGAGGTTCCAAGAGGACCAGTGACTTGACTTGCCCAAAGTCACACAGCAAGGCCTTGGCGTTCTGGCTCTTGGATGAGGTCTGCCAGGCTCTAAAACCACGTGCCCTGAGTTATTGTGGGTGTGAATGAGATTCAAGGGGAGATAGACTCCAACGTCTGAAGACAAAATGGCAGATCCTGTCCATCCCCTTGAGATAGATGTCCCCATTTCCATGGCTGGTGTCAGGAGATACAGAATAAGCAATTCCCCAAGTCAAGACTTCCACAGACAGGGCTGAGAGAGTTTCTTGTCCCCTGAGGACTGAAGGACCTGATCCCACGGGAGGTTCTGAAGTAAATGGCCACTTGCACTTCATGGTCTGGACAAAAAGCAAAGGAAGGAGTCCCGGAGTCATGTTAGTTCGCATCTCACTGCGTTTGTTATAGTTGTGATCTCTACTTTTGCTGGAGAGAATTACATTTTAATGAATATTAATGAATTGTACCATGTACAATCACCCAGGTCAAGCAGTTACTGAATTTTTCAGAAGTTCCCTAGGTGCCTTTCCAATCACATCCCCCCATCCCAAAAGTAAACGCTGTCCTGACTTGGCAATAATCATTCCGTTGCTTTTCTTTATAATTTTCCCATCAGTAATAGAGTAGTTTTGCCTGGATTTGAACTTTGTGTAAATGGGCCATACAGTGTATAACCATTTATATTTGACTTCTGTTGTTCAATGTCGTATTTGTGAATCTGTCCATTCACATTGTACAGTATTCCATCCTGTGAACATAGTCTATTTATTGGCATGGCTGGTTTTTAACTTGTAGTTTTTAATATGATCTAGGTTTGAACACTTCATTGGTTATATGTTTTATCTTCTCCCACTTTGTGTTACAATTTGTGGTCTTCACTCTATGGTGCTTTTGTAATCAATAAACTTTCTAAATTTTAATGGGATTAAATGTTGTATGATTATTTACGGCTAATGTTTTCGTGTTTTAAGAAAAGCTTTTTCTGCTGTGAGTATATGGAGATGTTGTCCTATATTCAATTCTTACAGCTTTTTGATTTTGCCTTTCACATTTATATTTTGAATCTACCTAGATTTTTGTGTTGAGAGAGAGGGTCCAATTTTTTTTCCTAATATAACCAATTATTCCATTCATTGAAAATCCAACAATTCCCAATGATCTCATGATATCTCCTTGGTCTTTTTGTGTCTACATATGAGCGGCTCTGTTTCTGAGACTGTTATTCTTTCATTGGCCTATTGGTCTACACTTGCAGCAATATCTTAATTGTTATATCCTATAAGAGGCGTGGGTGTCTTGACTATTTGGCACTTCCACATAAATTTAAGAATTAACTTATGACACACACACACACACACACATCTACTGAAATCATGACTGGATTTTCATTGAGCCCACAAAACATTTTAGAAGGGATTGACAGGTTTATGACATTGACTTTCAATAAGGTTATATTTTCTTCCAAAAAACTTTTGCTCCCTTTCACTAATTTCTAAGCAGTCCACAAATGGAATATTTATTAAAATGTTCTTTTATTTGTTGTTAACATATAAAAGCTATCAACTTTTAAATAGATTTTGTATTCAGAAATATTTTTAGTTCTTAATAATTCTAATAATTTATTGTGGATTCTCTGGGATTTCCTACATACATGGTGGTATCATCCATAAATTTGACAATTCTGTTCACTTTCAATCTTTAAATATTTTATTGCCTTCCCTTGCCTTATTGTGCTGGCTAGGACCTCCACTACAGTGCTGAGTAGAAATGTTAACAGGCGTCCTTTCCACATTTCAAAGTTCTTAACATTTCACTTTTAAATATGTAGTTTACTGTGAATCTTTGTAGATACTATTTATGTTAAGAGAGCTTGCTAAGGGCCTCCCTGGTGGCGCAGCGGTTGAGCGCTGGGTTGTGAAGCTGCCTGCAGCCTCTGCAGCGCCAGTTCGATCCCCGGCTGCTCCCCGGCCACCGGAGGAGGGTCCCACATGGTGTGCAGACCTCTCCTGCCGCCCCCTGCTCCCCTCAGCAGTGTGCTTCGGTCCTCTGCCTGCTCTGCTCCCCGCTCTGGCTCTGGTGAATTCTCTCACCCTCCTGTGCTTCTGACTGTACCGAGTGCTTGTATGTATAAATAAATAAATAAATAAATCTTTAAAAAAAAAAAAAGAGAGCTTGCTAAGATTTTCTAACTCATGAATGGTCAGATTTTATCTAACCCATCCTCATCTATTGAGATGATTGTGGGCTTTCTCCTTTAACCTGCTAATGAGGTAAAGTGTGCTGATTGAGTTCAATGGCAAACCATATTGCAGATTTGGAATAAATACTACTTTTTTTTTAATATATTAGATTTACATGGTGCTATATAGGTGAATGTTTGTGTCCCCTCAGAATTCATATGTTGAAACCTAATCCCCAAAGTGATGGTATTAAGAGGTAGGGTTTGTGGGAGGTTATTAGGTTCAGAGGGTGCCATCCTCATGAATAGGATTGGTATGCTCATAAAAGAGAGTCCAGTGCCTCCCTGGTGGTGCAGGCGGTTGAGCTCAGTGCTGTGAAGCTGTCCGCAGCTTCTGCAGTGCCTGTTCAATCCCTGCTGGCCACGAAGATACCCACATGGCGCGGCAGACCTCTCCTGAATCACCCGCTGCTTCCCTCAGCAGTGTATTTCAGTCAGTCTGCCTGTTCTGTTTCCCACTCTGTCTCTGGTGAGTCCTCACCCTCCCGCACATCTGGCCTGTACCCCGGTTCTTGTATGAATAAATAAAAATCTTTTTTTTTTCAAAGATTTATTTATTTATTTATACATGCACTGGGTACAGTCAGAAGCATGGGAGGGTGAGAGAATTCACAAGAGCCAGAGCGGGGAGCAGAACAGTCAGAAGTACACTGCTGAGGGGAGCAGTGGGCGTGGCAGGAGAGGTCTGTCACGCCATGTGGGATCCCCCCCCCGCCCCCCGCAGCCAGGGATTGAACCAGCACTGCAGAGGCTGCAGACAGCTCAGCTTCGCAGCCCAGCACTCAACCACTGAGCCACCGGGGAGGCCCCTGAATAAATAAAAATCTTTTTTAAAAAAAAAGAGTCCAGAAAGTTTTCTCACCCATTCATTATGTGAGGACACAATGAGAAGACCACTGTCAATGAACCAGAATCTCGTCCTCACAAAAAAACAAATCTGGTTCCTTGGCATTGGACATTCCAGCCTCCTGAATGTGAGAAATGCTGGTTGTTTATTAGCCACCAATCTACATTATTTTTGTAATAATGCAGCCAAAATGGACTAAAACAGGCAGTTGTCAAGTTCAGAAATATGCATCTATTTTCTTTTGATTGTTCTGTAATATTCTTTTCACTCGTCAGTTTTTAGAATCTAGGTTCTATCAGGCCTATCAAATGAATTAAGAATGCTCTTTTATACACTTTTAAATTACTTTCACAAAAATAGAATTATTCCTTGAGTGCCTCATGAGCAAAGTCACCTGAGCCCTGAGTTCCTGTGTGGGAAGACTTTTGGCTACAGCTTCCGTTAATGGATATAGAACTACTCAAGTTACATTTTTCGAGACACTTTTGGCAAGTTATATGTCTGCAGTAATTGTCCATTTTATCAAATATTTCAACCTAATGGGCATAAAGTTGCCTTTTTAGATATTGGTCAAATTATCATATCAATGGAAGGCCACCAACCCATCTGGACAAAGTCAGAATATCCTCATTGAACATATGAAATACGGATGTGCTGAGCTGTTTTTCACTAGCTGTTTCCACTTCCAGATGTCTGCAATGCTCCTCTTTCCTATTAGACTGCCCTCTCTTCCCCTTCATTACCTGGCTGACTCCTTCTGATTTTTTAAAACTCAGTTCAGGCACCGTATCCTCTGAAAAGGCTTCCAAGTCCTGGGTTCCCCACAGCCCATGGGATCCATCACTGTTAACTGCAATAACCACACTGCATGGAAATTCTTTCTGTATTTGTCTTCCCCACTAGACTGTGAGCTCCTTCCTCGGTGTCCCCAGAGCAGAACAGAGGAGGCCAGGCAATACTCGTAGAACTGAACTGAGGGCCTCCCTGGTGGCGCAGGTGGTTGAACACAGCGCTGTGAAGCTGTCCGCAGCCTCTGCAGTACTGGTTCCATCCCCGCCGGCCTCGGAGCAACCCACATGACAAGCAGACCTCTCCTGTCTCGCCCGCTGCTCCCCTTAGCAGTGCATTTCGTCAGTCTGCCTGTTCTGGTCCCTGTTCTGTCTCTGGTGAGTCCTCTCACCCTCCCACACATCTGGTCTGTACCCAAGTTCTTATATAAATAAATATTTAAAAAAAAAGAAAGAACTGAACCAAGCCTGTCACCACTAAATGACCAGCTAAGTTCTCGAGGCATGCATGCCTGGCAATACCGCTCCCTCCCACCCCATTTGCTTGCTGCTGCTTGTCGGGTTTTTTTTTTTGTTTGTTTGTTTGGTTTTTTAATTGAGCATCTCCTAGAAGAGTGGCCAATGAGGAAGGAGGGAAACTAGGAAAGTACAGTGTCCTGGAAACCAAGTGAAGAAGGGCCATCAAGGTTGAGATAACTGTGTTGGATGCTGCCAACACATCAAGTAAGATGAGGTCTGAGACTTGACTGCTGATATAACACGGTATCTTCAGTGACTTTGGCTCCTTTGCTGAGGAGGCTGGGCAGAACCTCTGATGGAAGCTATTTCAGAAAAGCTTTGAAGTGCCGGAGAAGAACTGAAAAAAGCTTATGTAAGTATTTCTTTCAAGAAGTCTGGCTGTAAAGGGAAGTAAATAAATATGTGGTGCTTTATTTTGCTAAGTAGAGCTTTTATTTGCATGCAGTAAATATATCTATCCTTTTTTACCCCAACAGTCTGGGGTCTGGGTTTCCTGTTTTTGAGTTAGACATGTGCTGTGTGTGGACAGCAACTCTGGTCTGATTCTTTCACAGTACATTAAGCCTCTGTCCCTCCTGAGATGTCACCTGTCTTGGGGGCAGATGGGTCTCCCTGTTGAATGTCACAGGCATTTTTTTCAGTAACCTCAAAACCTTGTGGCTGACATACAACCATTATTCCCACATCCAAAGTGACCACATCCACCACTGTAGCCGCATGTGTGACACCAAACCCTGGTGTGGCTACTTCTCCCCACACTGGCAGAATGTGGAAAAGATCAAAAGACCTTCCCCCCACACCCCCCCAAAAAAAAAAACCCAGACCACATAGTTTAGGACAAGGTGAGGTGACAAGGACATTTTTAAATAGCAGCAGCAGCCATGACCACATCCCAACCCCTAACATCCCAACAGTCCTCCCACAAAACAACGTGACCACCCTGCACACTCACCCACCCTGCACACTCATACTCAAACAGGAGACACTGCACAGTAAGACACTGTTTCTCATAGAGCTCTATTGTGGCATATAATAATAGGTACTCTATATAAATTAAATTAAAAATAAAGCTCCAGCAGGTTGCACAGGTTGGCTGTTAATAAATATATCTCTGGGTAATTGTGCCCCAAGACCAGCTCACGACCACTCTCCCTCATCCAGAGAATTATACAAAAATAAATACAGGCTCGGGGTAGGGGGTAGGGAAGGGAGGACATGCCCAGTTCCATTCTGAAGTTCTTCCCGTTCATACCTTCCACCAGTCCCTCTTCCTCTCCACTGGTGTCACTGCAGGGAGCCCTGTGCTAATGAGAGCTCGGGGACAGGGACAGGGACAGGAAGGCTCTCTCCAGTTGAACATTCTCAGAAGCAAGGGACCATGGTCCCCTCACTATACAGGTCACATATCTCATCTGATCCCTCTGGGGGTGGTTCAAGGGCTTCCCCTCCCCAGACCCCAGAGAGGAAAGCCTGTTGTTGCTGATCCCACCAGCAGCTCCTACGAGAACCAGGCCAGAGAGAGGCACAGTGCAAGCACCAGGAGGGACATACCACTGTTCAGAGCCACAGGGACCACCACCAACCCAGCCAAGACCCCCAGAGTCTGGGTCAAGGGTCCCCGGAGCTGGGGAGGTAATATACACACACATTCTGCAGGGGCTGCTGGGGTGGGAGAACTTTTGGGGGGCTCAAGGCTTGGGCTTGAACTCTCTTCCTCCTGGGAGCTCATGTGGGGCCTGGCCAGGCTGGAAGGACAGACTTCAGTGCCCAAGGGGCCAAGGAGGGTGAGATTTTGCCCCTGAGGGGCTGGAGCAGCTAACTCCTGGCCAGATATAGGAACTGAACTGTCTGCCCACTCAGCAGTAAACTCCATCCGGGCTTCTGTCCCAGACACCCCCAGGGACCCTGTCACCCCAGCTATCATCCTAGTCATGTGCAAAGAGTCAGTGTCCTTGCCCATTCCCTTTTCTGGAGCCACAGTGAACTGACCCTCTGTCCCCAAAACCACAGGGCTGTCACATCCCGAGCCCTCTGCCCACGGGAGCCACACATCTCCCATAGTGGCTGCCACAGGATGGGCCCCACAGAGGATTTCCGGAGGCGATTCCTTTGGGGTGTCCCCTTCTGGGCTGGAGGGTATCATGGAGAGCCCTTCTTCGCCCTCCCCCTCCTCATCAGGGTCCTCTGTGTCCTTGATGAGCTCCACACCGCGCCCTAGCCGGGCATAGTGCAGAGTGATCTCCTCAGCCAGGGCGCTGTTCAGGGCCCGCTCGGGGCCAGGCCACTTCAAGATCAGGTCGCGGTCCGTGAGTATGCCCAGGGGCTGGCTGGGGGACAACCCCCCATCTGTGGGGCCCTCCCCATCACCTCCTGCCCCACCTGCAGCCACAGCAGCCCGCAGGCGGCTCAGGTGGGACAGGTAGAGCTGCTCCAGCTCCTGGTCAATGGTGTCCTCGCCAAGCAGCTCCTCCAACCCACTCATGGCCTCCAGACCCCCAGGTGGCTCATCCATGATGGCCCCCACCATGGGGTCCTTTCGGCCCCCTCCATTCTCACTCGGTACTTCCCACGTGGCCTCCACCTGGTGCTGGCTGGGTTCCAGGAGAGGCCCCACTGGCCCCTCACTTGCATCGGGCCCTGAGGCCTGGTCCCTGGGGGCGCCTCCCAGGCCACAGAGAGAGGAGGAGGCAGGAATCCTGATGACTGGTGCCTGGGGGACCTCTGTGAAAGCCACAGGCGGACTGCTTCGGGGGCCATCACCTTCCTCTGGGCGTTTGCCAGTCACTGTAACTTCAGACACCTGGAGCCGAGGTGGGGGAGGTCAGGGTAGGAGGGGAAAAGGGAAGGGAATGAAGTAGGAGGGGGTGGGACAAGTAGAGATTTTGAGAGCTGGTGACAGCTACCCCCACCCCTACAGGCCTTTGCACTAAAACTCCCCAAAGAACAGTCCATAATTCTCTAAACTCCAAAGATAATGTTGTTTGTATTACAAATACAAAGTTGAGATGGAGTAAAGGGGGCTTCCTGCAGATAAGAAAGCAAAGGAATTCAGTGGACACCAAGATCTGGTGAAGAGCTATCAGTAAACATTACTAGCTCTCCTCCAGAACACATCCAGAACAGCTACAAGAACTCACGTCTTCCCTTTTTAAAAAAAAAGTATTTCCCAGCTCCATCTTTTGACAAAGCCTGGAGACTGACCTAGCAGGCAGCTCGAGGTCCAAATACCATTCTCCTCTAAGAAGAGGAAGGGCTCCTTTAAGAAGTGGCTGTTTCCAGGTTTGGGACACAGACTCATCCTTAAGACGAGTCTGGGACACACTGTCATGGCAGTATGTGAGGAAGTGCTCGGAGAATGATGGGATGGTGCCCAAAAGGCTCTGGAGACTATCCATACAAGCTCCTACTGCCCCGAGAGTTGAATGGAAGCATCAAAATAAATAAATGAGGGCACTGGATTGAGACACTCAAATAGGCTTCAAATTCATGTGTTCATAATGATATACCAAAAGCAAACATTCTTTAATTGGTCACCTTTGGAAAATCCATTTCTTCTGAAAGCTAGTAAATAAAGGGAAAGGTTAAACTAAACAGATTAAATGAAATTACACTAAATTAAATTTAATAGGGAAAATTAAATGTTTACATAGTTTTCCTATATAACTATACCTCAAGGTAACCAAGCAGTTGATGTGAGAAAGCTTTTCTTTAGAGAATTCTAGCTAATAAGGACAAAAAAGCAAACAAAAAAATAAATGAAGAATAAGAGAATTAAATTTATTCTATTGAAATTAATTTAATAGATTATATTTAATAAATATAATAAAATTGATAGTTTAATAAATTTAACAATAGATCATATTAATTAAATAGAATGAATACATCAATAAAAATAGAGTAAAAAACATGTTTCCACCTGGATATAATCAGCCAGATCCAGACTGCAGGAAATTCTACAGGGCAAACAAGGTTTCTTCAACAAACAAATTGCAAGGAAAGGGAGGGAAATTAAAAATTCTCAAAAGAGCCATTAACCAAACACAAAGTATTACCCTTGTTTGGACCCTAAAATACTTACAACTAAGGAAATTCCAACCAACAGTGACCAAATATTTGATGATACTAAAGAATTAGTGTCACTTTCCTGAGGGTGTGATGATGGCACATGGGATTTTTGTTTCTTTGTTGCTGCTATTTGGGGTTTTGGTTTTTTTTTTTTTTTAGAATTCTGAGGTTCAAACTGAAGTATTAAAGAATGGGATGATGTCTGGATTTTTTTTCCTAAACTAGAGCGCGAAAGGGGAAGAGGTGGGGATATAGAAAAAGTAGGACTGGACATGTTGAAATTTGTTAAAGCTGGGTGATGGGTATATGTGGATTCATTGAACTGGTCTCTTTACTTTTATGTTTAAAATGTTTGTATTAAAGGTTCACACACACACACACCCTCCAGAATTCCTCTCTCTCTCTGCAAGCACGGCACAAGCTCACCAGGACACTGATTTAGCCTCCAGCTCACTGCACCCCTCACAATCACGGTCTGTTCTCCTCACAGCAGTCAGAGGGTGCCCATCTGAACTAAGTCAGTTCAAGGCGTTCCTGTGCTCTCAACCCTCCATCTGGTCACTCCCCTATCACTCAGGGTGAAAGCCAGAGTCCTCCCCATGGCCCTCCACAGTCTGTCTCTGGCACCTCTCCCACCTTACCCCTGCAGCTTCCACTCATTGCTCTTCACACGCCTTTGTCAAGGCCCTGCCTTCTCTTTCTCTCGTCCTCCTCCTCTTCCCCCCATCTCTTTATTCCCTTAATTTTTTCCTGAATACTTATCCCCATCGAAAATACCATATATTTTAAATATTATTTTGTTTTATTATGTCTTCTCCACTAAAACGTAAGCCCTACAAAGACAGCGTATTTGGTTACTACAGTATTCCCCGCATCCATAAGTGCCAGGCACAGAGCAAACACTCAGTAACTATGTCCCAAACTAATGAATGGAGTTTCTCAAGCCCCAGGTGAAAGCTTGCATTCTACTCCTCCCCCCATGAGGTTCTAATTTGGGGACCTCGCTCTGACCTCAGATGAACCCAGAACAAGCCAGTGTCCAGCACCACCCAGCCTCCCAGCAAGCTGTCTGTCCAGATTTGCAGGGGCCTGCTTACCTGAAGTGTCATCTGGGGCCATGGACGGAGAGGGGTGGGGGCTACCAGGGGACCCACTGACTCCTGGACATCAGGACGCTCTGCTGGAGAGAGAGAAGAGCAGGGTTGGGGCAGGGCAGTGCACAAGCACGCCGGCCTTGGTTAAGAAAATCTGCTTCTCTAGTCAATTGACAGTTTGGCTCTGAAGCATTCTGTGACAATCTAAGGCAGAGGGTGTCTCAAATTGTATGGAAAGAAAAATGGAAGGAAGAAAGAAATTGGAAATATAAGCACAAACTCCCCCGACTGCAGTCAGCTGCTTACCCACAGCAGGACTATCATCATCCGGGCTCCTCATCCTCAGCTCTTCCTCATTAGGCCTGTGGGGCAGAGGAGAGAACAGATGGATCTGCGGACATAATTTCACAGCTGCCTCTGTCCACCCACAGGAAGCAGCACTACATACTGTAAACATCTGAAATGGCTGCTTACCACACACAGCAATGGGCTCATGGAACCCGTGTTACATTCCCTTCCCACCGAGCAGCTCAGTTATGGCCTTCTTTGTGTGCTCTCAGAGCAGACTGCGGCAGACATCACTGGGCAAGCTTAATGAACACTTTGGATCATTTCTTTAGGGCATATCCCTGGCGCTGGAGAAAACTATCTTTTCTAAGAAAGCATAAGTGAGGACCATGGGACACAGGAAGCTGCAAAGGGGAAGAAGGGAGCGGCAGGAGAATGGGAAGGTGGGTAGCAGAAAAAGGAAGTAACCTGGGGTCACAGACCCTCCACCCATCCCCCAATCAGCCTGGCAGGCCATTTAACCTCCCTAAGCCTCCTCCTCCTCACTTTAAAATGGAGCAAAGGGAACTGGGCAATGCACACCAAGATCAGATAAGAGAAATGAAACCACCACACCAGACACAGGGGCCTGGCAGAGAGAAGAAGCTGAACCAACCGTAGGCTAATTCATGGATCTTGTTCCTCCTTTGCCAGGCAAGTCAGGCCCCAAGGCTTGAGTGGCATAAGCCAAGTGTATTTTAGCCAGATCTTGCCAGGGGTGGGGTGATGGGCAGCAGAAAGAAACTTCTGCTCTCATTCTCACAAATGAGAAGCAAATGTTTACAGATTAAGGCAAATGAGGAGAGCATTAACTGAAACAAGTTCAGAGACCTGAGAGCAGCTGAGGCAATTGCTCAAACCTTGTTCTTCCTAAGAAGTAACCTGATGATGTTGACATTTTTGGAAGTGGTTGCAACTTCTTGAAAACACGTAACTTCCTTCATAGAAACAGAGTATCATGAGCTGACCTGAATATAGTACTTACTATGGTGCTAGGCACCATTCTAATTAGAGCCCATGTATTAACTCAATCCTCATGACATCCCTAGGAGATAGGTACTCTGAATCCTTTGAAGTAGGCAGTACTACTCTCCCTATCTTACAAATGATGCAGTGGAAGTCAAGTACAAGTCTCAAGATCAAGTAGTGAAGCTTGAAACCTAGGTCTTCCAGCTCCTAAGTCTGTGCTCTTAACCAACAAACTGTGGCTTCTTGGACAAGGGAGACTGGGCTCTTCCCCCAACCCATTCTCCAACACATTCTGGAAGGACACAAAGGAAGGCATTAATAATACCAAGATCACCACCTACCCCACCTCCTGCACTTGGACTTGTCTCTATACCCCGCTTTGGCCCACACACCCATTCCCAGTTTCCCTGTCTTCATGGAACACTGGCTACAAGACCACCAGACACAGAACTGCTTTCTCTTAGCACGCTCAGGGAGGAAGCTTGAACCACACGCATGGAACCAGAGCCTGGAAGCTCTAAAAGGGACATCTATCTGTCTTGCTCCATGGACTAGAGTTCATCCATCCCACCAGAGATGTGTGAATCAGAATACTGGGGCCCGGTGTGGGTGACTCGGGGAGCACAGCCATTGATTCCTGCACATCATGGAAGAGAAAGGGGGATTCAGAGCAAGCCAGCTTGGTCCTCCACCAAGTCGCCTTAGGGGGTCTAAAATCCAAGTCTTTGGACTTATGACTCAATGTGACTTTTGCTGACTTCTTTTGCTGGTGTAGTCTTACATCAAAGAAAGTCACCTTCGAGGAGCTACTGAACCAAGCCTCTTCAAGAAGAACCATAGAGACAGAAAGACAGTCCTCCCCCGGGGGCATGCCTAGGCAAGCCTTTCCCTACCGTCTGGCCAGTGCCAACAAACACCACAACCTGGCTTGTACTGAAGCCACTCCCGAGTCCTAGAGGGATGCAAAAGGGGGGGGGCAAGGTACTCAGAACAAAGTCAAGCAGCAGGAAAATAATTCCACGGTTGAGGGAAGAAGAAAAACAAATACAAAATAAATCCCTCAGCCCCCAGAGTGTCTTTTCTGCAGCCAAGGAGGGTGCACAGAGGGGGCCCATCCAGAAAGCAGGTCAAGCAATTGGGCCAATCCCAAGACTGACAAAGTCAGCAGAGACACATACAGGTCACTCTTCCGACCTCCCAAATCAGAGGTGGAAGCAAGAGGACCACATTTATTGTTCACCTCCTCCATGAGCCCTTTAAATCGATTCACCAAGTCATTTGAAAACATTCACATCTTTCCTCCAAAGCAACACCATTCCCTTTTTACAAGTGTGGAAACTGAGGCTCAAGGAACCGTGTGTCTACACCCACTAACTACATACACACCACACTGAGAACATCCAAAGAGGGTTCCATTTTAAAGACAGTGTTTGAAACCGTGGGCTTCAGAAAAAGAAAAAAAAAAAACCTAAATATCCTTGAACTGTCTTTCATGGTAAGCACTCGGGGCAGCTATGACTTGAACCAAAAGGAGGCTGGTGAGAGAAATGGAGCACAAATGTATACGGACTCTGATCAGTAACAGAGAAGAGGGATTCTTAGAAAAATGGGGAGATTAAGAACAAAACTGTACCTCAGTATGCTTGCACACTTTCGAGAAGGAAACCTGCTCTTTTGGTACCAGCCCCACAAATGCCACGTGATATCTCAAGGGCAATGGGCACTAGTACACAGACCTGGGGGCATCTCAGGCACACACCCTCTGGGGCAAGCTGGTGTGACTTAAAAGGGGCCAGTCGGGCCGATTTGCCAACCTCCTGGGTGTGAAAATTCCTCCTGCAATCAGGAAGCTCCATGGCCACTGACCTCAGATAGCACCCCGGGGAACCAGGGGTGAGATTTTCAGAAAGAGATGCCGACTGGCCCCAGCCCGGGCCAGGTAGGACAGAAAAAGGTGACTCAGCACAGACAGCGCGAGAGGGCTGATAACCTCCATGAGGAGCAAAGCAGACTTTCAGAGCAGCCACATTCCTGCCATCGCCACCACCGCCACTCCTCCCACCCCGTTCTCTGTGAACACCCCAATACTCATGTTTTCGAAGAACTTGGCCAGCTCAAAGTGGGTCACATACCAAAACCCAAAGGGAAACTCAGCAGAGCCTGGCTCCCTCCCGTGCAGTCAACCCGAAGGTGACGCTGACTCTCCGGGGCCAAGGGGGTTTCAGAAGGCTGCCGGATACTCGGAATCCCAGTCACCCTCAGCCATCTGCTCTCTGAAAAGAACAGGGTCTGAAGGCAGCTGTGAGAGCAAAGTTCTGCAGGGCACTGCTCTGCGCTCCCCAAGGACAGACCATGTCCACGGCAACTCTGGGCTTCTAGACCACCCAACAGGATGCAAAGAGAGCAGTTTACTGTGCCTGAAGCTACTTTTACAGCTGTGACCGCACCCTTTTTGGAGCATTTCACACGGTGGACTTAGCGCATCCATACAAGTGTCAACATACACACATGACAAAAAGCAGTTGCTCTTTGAACATCACCTGCCCTTACGACGTGTCATGATGCACTCTATTTCCTATGCTAGTCCCTTTCTTGGAAAATGTTTGTTGGAATCCAGTAAACTGATTTCACATCTCAATAAAGGATCATGACATGTACTTTTGAGTTACCCCAGCTCTGCCACCTACCAGCTGTGTGACCTGGAGCAAGTTACTTAACACTATGCCTCAATTTCCTCATCTGTGAAAAGGGTAAAACAGTAATACCTACCACAGAGAGCTGTTGCGGGGATTGAGAAAATACTTAAAAATCACTTGTAACATGCTTAATAGTAACCTCCTCCAAATTTCCCCTGAGGGAAGTTGAGGCTCCAAAAAGGAAAACGGCTTGTCCCACACTGCGAGCAGCCTGGCACAGCAGATAAAAACTGGGGCACTACAGCAGGACCACCCCACCCCAGCTAGCGGTGATCTCAGCTCTGCCACTTCCGTAGTGTGTGGCCTAAGGCCCACATCCTTACCAACACAGCCTTGCCAGTTTTCTAGGAACAGAAGAGGATCACTTTCACACAAAATCCTCACTCTCCAGACAACTAAGATGACTCCTGACCCAACCTGTTTCGACTCAGATTGTTCTGGTTTCCCCTAAGGCTGCCAACTCAGATAGCAAGTGGGGTCCCCATCCATTCAGCTATAGGTGCGAAGAAAAACCTCTAAGGTCTTACTGTGCAAGCGGCTCAGTGACAAGACCCTGGAGACACAACAGTGAGCAAACCCAACTAGGAAGCTTACGATTTAGTGTGGAGAAAGACATTAAAAAATATACTCACACTCATTCTTTCAACAAACATTTATTAAGCACCTGGTAAGTGCCAGGCACAGTGGCAGGCCCTGCAGGAACACAGCAATGGACAAAAGCGGGCTACGTCCCTAGCCCTCACGGAGCTTACAGTCTAGCAGGGCAGAGAGGGTCAACCGATTCCCTAATGAAGGTCCAACAGGAAGGTCTAACTGAGGTCAGTGATTCAGAAAAACAAAGAAGACCCTAGAACCAAGGGTCTTGGTCCAGACTACAGGCAGATGCCTGGAAGGAAAACATGCAAGAGAGGGGTAGAGGAGTGTGAGGCGGCTCAAAACATGGCAGGGGAGGCAATGGAGTTGATCTTGAACCAGGGGAGACACCAAGTGGGGATATGAGGCTGCAGGAAGGAGCGACGAGGAAGAGAAAGGCAAGTGCATTAAAAGGAAAAGCAGCAGAACATGACCAAGGCTAAGCAAGAAAGTTAAGTAGAAGCACTCAAGCCTTTGAAAAGAAAACCAGAAAACCACCTATGGAGTCTAGCAGATGTGGAGGGTTGAAGCAAATGGAGGTGACTCTTTAGAGCAGGGTTGACAATGAAAGGGAGGATGATTAAGGGGTGGCCACAAACAGTAGGGACAGAAGGAGGGGTCAAAGCAGACTGTTAAGTCGGTAGAGATGCTAGCATACATAGCGGCCAATAGAGAGGATCGGGTGAGGAGGGCAGTGAAAAGTTGTCAGGAGAGAAAGGGTAACTGATTGTCAGGTGCTGGAGCAAGTGGTGGAGGGACAGGCCTGAAGGAGAAAAAGGGTGCCCCCTCCTCCCCTGTAACACAAGGGAGGGCAATCAGTCTGCAGGCTTGGGGGCTGCAAGTTTTGGGAAGTTCCATTCTTATAGCTTCTATTTGGTTTTTTTAAAGCAGGAAGTCTGAAGGTAAAGAACATTTGAAAGAATCATATAAGGGAGGAACAAGAGTGGGTCAGAAAAAAACCCTGCTGGGCAAGTACTGCCAAGCAGGGTGGAATATGATCCCCAATTTGTGGCAATGCTCATCTGCTCTGCCGGGTGACATTCTCTAACAGGACAGCCTCTAACAATCAGTGTTATGAGAAAACCCGGGCCTGAGGAGGCTGGAATGGATAGACAGAAGTCCCCGAGCAAGCAGTCTCAGAACTGAAGGATCAAAACAAAGAGTATGCACAGGGCACAGAACCCACATTCCTGGTCCTGTGATAGAAACGGCATGGGCAAAGGCCTGCAGCAGGAAGGGGCAAGACACCTTGGATAGACCACGTGACAAGAGCTTAAAAGACAGAGGACCGCACGAAGTGAGACTAGTAGCCAAGGATGCCAGATTGGGGGACAGGGCAGGGGGTGCATGAAGGTCCTAGCGAGGCTTTCTTGAGCTTTATTTTCAGGAGCAATAGCATACCTCCTGAGGGTATTAAGCCAAGGTAAATTAGGAGGGCTCCTCCCCACACCAGCCCTGGGATTTTGGACTATGAGAACCTCAGTTTGCTCATCCAGGAAAGATGGATAAAACCTATTCATGGGAAATGGAAAAGTCAGATGAGCTTTTGCCTGAAAACACTTATCAAAGCACCTAGCAAAGGGCAGGGTCTCTGCAAGGCCTCATACAAGCCATCTTTACCTGCCCCTCCCACCCAGTTCTAAGACAGCCCTTTGCCATCTTAGCTCCAGTCTACCTTTTTCCCTGTTAGAGCCTAGTACTGTGCCCTGCACAAAGCAGGCTCTCAATAAATGCTTGTTGATGGGTCATCTGAAAATCTAAGCATTATCAAAAGCTTGTTCCAGCAATCCAGGGAACTCATCTATTCCAGTCTCTGAGCTGTAGCCAGATGGCTACCAACTTCTCACATGCCCCCACCTGATGTGGCTGCACCCAGCACACAGTGGGCTTGCAGCCAATACTTCCTGATCAAGAACCCTCTACAGTGGGTTTCCCCCAGATTAAAGCTGGCAGCCCCTGAGCGACTCTACTGTCTTCCAAGAGGTGGCTGTTCTTCAACAGCACTCTCAGTCACCGGCAGCACACAGGTTTTAAAGACAATAATAAGTTGAAATGTACTCGCCAAGAAAGCCACCAACCTACAAAGAAATATCTTATCGCTGATCTTGCAATGAGCACCAACCTCCCCTTTGCAAGAGCTGAGATCAGGAGATAAAGAAGCTATCAAAAAGCCATCTGCCCACTTAAAATAATATCACAAGTCATGTTAGGAACCACAGACCCGGGGCCAGATACCAAAACAATTGTCTGAACGGGCTGCTTCTTTTTCTCCTTAAAACCACCCATGTATTTTAAAAGAAAAACACCCTCTCCACCCACCTTGGCCCTGTTCCTTTCCTTTCACACTCTTTAAAATGACCAAACCTTATTACCCCAACTGTAACATCTTACAGTGCTCCCACGACAATCGGCTGGGATGACGACTTGGGAAAAGTGACAGACATGAAGGCAACTATGGCATGGGAACCACTTGATACCTTGATCTGGGTGATGGCAACACATGGGCATAAATATGTGAAAATCTATTGAGCCTTATACTTCGGATCAATACACATTATGTCGGTGTCCCTCAATAAAGAAAGAAAAAAATGGTAAAAGGAAAGCACGAAATGCTGGGAGAATCAGGAGTGAAAGGCAGATTTTGCCCTGAATCCTGTTAGGCCTTCAAGAGGAACAGCACTGGGAAAAAAAAAAATGTCCCTGACATTCACTCCCTAGTTGTCACTCACTAACTTGAGCAAGCTAGCTCACCAATCTGTGCTACCTGTTCCCACCTCTATGAAATAGGTGTGATCATAGCATCTATACCACACAGCATGCACAGCAGGCCTCGGAGAGGATTAACTTGAAACTCTCACAGAGAGATCAGTAAATGCTGGTCACTGTTTCCATTCACAGTTACCACCATGCTTCAGTTACCTTGCCTAGGTTTACTGCGTCCAATCCTGCCACACAAAGTGACTGTCATTCCCCTTTATATGAGAAAACTGAGGCTCACAGATGAAGAAACTGAGGCAAGGTCACACAGCTGGTGACAAGCAGAGGAGTTGGGAAGGGGACAAAAAGGAACTGTTATGTGTGATTCTGTGAACAGGAATGATAGCACCTGGCACCACTAAGAGCCAGGCTGGGTTCGGAGTGCTTTTTACTCATCTGCTCTGAAGTTGGGCTGTAATTATGCTTCACAGATGAGGGTACTGAGGCAAAGTGCAGTTAAATGAGTTGGCCAAGGTCACAGGCCAATGACGGCAGGGCTGGGACTTGAACCCAGACCCTCTGTTAGGATCTAAAGGCTTAATTTAACCCTGTAAAGAAATCCATACTGCCCCCCACTTTAGACTAAGTCTCAGGTTATTACAGGGCTCCCAAGTCAGTAAGTGGGTGCTTGTGTGCTTGTTCACTTATCCAGACATATCTGCCCACCAGCCTCAAGCTAGACTGAACCATTCACAGCCTGAGACCTGGTGAGGACCGCAAACATCTTGTTGCAGCCAGAGGATTGTGATCAAGCATATACAAGGTCCAAAAAAAACACTTTCCCATTCCCATTCCTCCCCAGGAGCAGGGAAATATATGCATTTCCCACACGTGCACAGGAAATCTGTTCGTCCCAGGCTAGACTTAGATGGCCCCCAAAAGAATCAGGCCTAGCTGCGACCCTTGAATAACTCACAGCTTGATCGAGAACACCTAGGAGAATCGTGTATGGTGGTATGGCAAAAACCAAGGACACAAGCTTCAAGTCCAGGCCCAACTGGTTCTGCCCCTGCCAGAACCACTGCTTCCCAGGAGAGCATGGCTCAGACCCTCACTTCAACAGGCCTCAGACTAGACTAGAGCATAACAGTAAAGAGAGTGCACAGGTTTCAAGGTCAGACACAAATTGCAAAAGCCAGGCGCCATCACTTCCTCAACCAGCTTCTCCCTCTGGAACCCTATTTCCCTGCTCTGTCAAAGTGGGATCAGGTTCTCTGCCCCTGAATGGCAAGGCCCTTGGTCCGCACCACCATGTCACTGCAGTTCTCTCCATTCCAGCACACTGTCCATTATTCACACCAAGCTCATTCCCACCTCAGGACCTTTGCACTTGCTGTTCCCTCTTCCTAGAACGCCCTTGCTCCCGTGTGTGCATAACTGTTTCTCTTCATCATTCAGGACTCAACTGAAATGACACCTCCTCAGAGAAGTCCTCCTTTTCCCCTTTTCTACAAACTCTCCTCCCCACCCCCCACCATGTCTGTGCACAATTCTTATCATCCAGGACTCACCTCCTCAAAGGCCCTCCCTGAATAACTGCTTTAGCAGTTATCCCCTCCCATACTATCACCTTACTCTATTGTACTTTCCTCTCAACAGCTAACCTTATCCTTATTTGCCTGCTCATTATTTTTTCAATCTGTCTCCCACAGGAACCTATATGATCCTTGAGGGCAGGGAAGATGTCTGTCTTGTTCGGGGCTTTACAGTGGAATTCAATAAACGAATGAACGAAACCCCAGTAATTAAAACAGAGCCTAGCACATGTAACTGACTGAATGTGCCCGCCTCCCAGTCCTGGAGCACAGGCCTGAAGGGTTCCGGGGTCGGGATGCTTGTCCTCTATCCTAGACACAGCCCAGTGTTGGCGGAGGTGGCGCTGGCACACATTACCTGCGCCTCACCGGCTTCATGCAGCTCTTCAGCTGCCTGGCCTCAGCCTCCACCGGACCCTGGCACTCAGGCTGTGGCTCCAGCTGCGGCAGCTGCTGCTGCTGGGGCAGCCCTTCGGCATCAGTGGGTGTGGGAGCGGGTGCGATCCGGAGCAGGACTGTGTAGTTTCGGCCGTGGTTGTTGGCCCAGAAAGTGCCCTCGGGGGTCTCATAGCGCACCACGAAGTCCAGGCGCGCCCCATCGCCCGCGCCCTCAGCAAAGGGCAGCTGGAAGGCAAAGCGGTCAGTGCGGCCGCCATCATCGGGCGAGGAGGCGGGCGCCTGGCCGGGGCCCAGGCCAAGGCCCGGATCCAGGATGGGATCTCCTGTTCCTGGTCCTCCCGCTCCTGCCCCCGGCGGGCTGCGCGGGACGTAGCGCGCTGGGTGGTCGCAGAAGGAAGCCCAGCCGTCGTGTGAGGCCCGCACGTGCACCGCCTTCTCGAAGGAGCGGTTCAGCACGCGTACCAACCCGCGCAGTACCGGCGGGCGCCCCCCTGGCACCCAAACCCCGGCACCCCCGGGAACCGCTCCAGGAGGCGGCAGCAGTGCCTCCAGCTCCACCATGACGCGCCCCAAGCGCTCCAGACGGCCCGGCGCGGGCGGCAGCGAAAATGTGGGCACCAGGTAAAACCCCCCTCCGGCGGGCACGGGGCACAGCGGCGAGGGCTCGGAGCAAGCCTCCTCTTCCTCCTCCCCTTCATCCCCATCCTCGCCATCGTCGTCCTCCTCAGCCCCTCCGCCGTCGCCATCTTGCCCGGCCGCCGCCGCCATCTTGCCCGCCCCGGGCCCGCCCCACGGCCGGTAGCGGCGCAGCTGCGCCAGCGGCAGCCCCAGGGCCTCGTCGGCGAAGAGCACCCTCCGCGGAGCCACCGCTGCCTCAATCGAGGTGCGGGGCTCGCCCGCGGCCGGCGAGGGGGGCGCGGGATGCCGCAGCGGGGGCTCCACAGGGGCCGTGCGCGCCATATCGGCGGCGGCGGCGGCACCGACGGCACCGGCGGCGGGACCGGCGGGGGCAGGGCTTGAAGGGGCGGGTAGCCAATGGGATGGCCAGCGCGGGGGGAGTACGGCTCACGGGGGGCGTAGGCGGCGAGATGAAGACAGGTAGAGCGGAGAGCCAATGGAGAGCCACGCACGGGTGACGTAACGGTGAATGGAGTGCTGGAGAAGCACGCAGCCAATGGGGATGTCCGAGAGTGGGCGGTGTGGGAGGCGGAACGATCGGGAAAATCAATGGGGAAGCCTGAATGGGGGTGGTGCAGGGTCCAGGATGAAGGGAGAAGTAGGACAGTAAATGGGCAAGTGTGAGCGCGAATGGTGTGTGGGCTCTGGGGAAAACGGAAGGGCTACGGGCAATGGGAGCACCAGGGAGTAAACAGAGAGGCCCGAAATGTAGACCTGTGGGTTGCGTAGGTGGTGGGACGGCAGCTACAGACAGCTAACAGCCAATGGAGAGCCACGCACCGGTGATGTAGAGGCGGGCTAATGCTGCAGCGAACCAATGGGCAGTCTTGTGAACTGCACCCCGCCTTCAAAGGGCAGTGCCTGGGCGGAACTAGCCAATATGGAGGTTAGAAGGAGGCCGAGAGGCGGGACCTGAGGGCCAGAGCCAATAAGGATGGAGGATGAATGCAGGAGCGAGGAAGCGATACGGCGGGTAGCCAATGGGAGAGCCAGACTGAAGGCAGTTCCGCCCTCAAAGGCAGTGCTAGAACGGGATGAACCAATGCTGAGCGTAGAAAATGTAGCGGGGAGAGACGCGAAGGCGGGGCAAAAAGAGCAGAGCCAAAGTAGGGCATTGTAGATGGTGTAAAGGAAGAGGTGAAGAGCCAATAAGGACCCCGGAGAGAGGGTGATGCTTAGGTAGTCTGGACTGTAGGGTGAACGGGCACCAGAGCCATAGAATACAAGAATATGCTTCTCGTGGATGGATGTGCCTACTGACCTAGATCTGTGAATGCCCAGAACCGCTGAAGACTGACTGCACCCCAGTGTGGGATGTAAGAAATCAAAACGGGCTCTCCCGGCATTTACTGGCTTCCCCTGCCCACCTGTGAGCCTTTGCTCAAGCGCTGCCACTAGCCAACAATGACCCTGATTGTCATCCTCAGCATTCTCCAGAACTTGGCGCAGTTGTTGAATGAATGGCCAAATAGGAAATTGAGCTTTGGGGACTCCCTGGTGGCGCAAGGGGTTGAGACACAACCTATAAAGCTACCCGTAGCCACTGAAGCACAAGTTCGATCCCCGGCCAGGGAGGTGACCCACATGGCACAGCAGACCTCTCCTGACTCGCCCGCTGTTCCCCTCAGCAGTGTATTTCAGTCAGTCTGCCTGTTCTGCTCCCCACTCTGTCTCTGGTGAATCCTCTCACCTCCCCCCCCCCCGCACCTCTGGCCTGTACCCCAGTTCTTGTATAAATAAAAAAATAAAAAATCTTAAAAAAAAAAAAAAAGAAATTGAGCTTTGGGGAAGATTAGTGTTTTCTAACTGTAGATCAGCAAAACTACCTGACCGTGAGCCGCCAGGAGTTGATTGGATGTGTTGGCACTGACTAATGTAATCACAAGTCCAAACCCTAGCTTTCTTGCCCCACGCACTCCATACCCTACGGTAGCCTCACCTCCCTTCTCTCTGCTTTCACCTCTGCTCCTGCTGTTCCCTCTCCCAAGAGTGCATTCTGCTCCTGCTTCCTCCATCTAGTGAACTTGCACTATCCCGTTGAGCTTACACCTGTGGGAACTGAATTATAGCTTATGTCCACTGAGCCTGTCTACTAATACTTGCCCCCTCCATCTTGGGAGGATTTACTGCACACCTACTGTATGCAAGGTTCTGACTCCCAACAGCCCTAGGAGGGAGGTGGTTCTTCTAACAAGCACCCCCTCTTCAGGTATCATTGTCCAGGATGGAGTACTGGGTCAGGAAGGAGTATGTTCAACTGTGAGTAACAGAAAACTTGTGAAATAATGGGGTCCTTCAATAAAATAGAACTTTGATTTTTTTTCACACATAAGGGTCAAAGCTGGTAAGTAGTTCAGGGACTCCTTCCTGCCCAGTTAGGTTATATCCGTGCCCTTGCTGGCCCCAAGATTCATCCTTCCACAAATCCTGTCTGCTCTCCATTCAAATTATTTCCCAAATCTGCCCTCTCCTCACCCACTCCACTGCCAGCACAGTCATCACTCAGTTGGACTATAGCAGTAACACCCCCTCCCTGGTCTCCTGGTTCCACCCTCACACCTATCACCCTTTCTACACTCCGTCATCAGAGGAATCCTATTAAACCCTAACACCATTCACATTTTTCCTCTGCTCACAACCCTCCCGTAGCCACCTCCTCACTCAGGGTAAAAGCCAAAGTCATTAACCTAGCCTGCAAGATCCTATGTGGTCTACCACACCTAGCCCCCTCTCTGACCTCACCTTCTAACCCTCCTCTCACATCTCTCTAACCACACCGACCTCCCTAGTAGAGCTTTGCAGATCAGGCACACTTCTACCTCAGGTCCTTTGCACTGACTGTTCCCTCTGGAATGACCCGGGTATCTACATTGCTCCCTCCCTCACCACTCTCAAGTCTTTTGTCAAACAGCCCCTTCTCTGGGGGGACTTTCACTGACCTCTGCTTACTCCTACCCGCTATCCCCCAGAAGACTTCCATGTGAGAAGATATGTCCAGTATTCAGAGAAGAGGTAGTGACTTCTGCCCCTTCTCTGCCCACCTGAACCCCCAACCCTCACTCTGCAAGGGTCCTGGCTCTTAGCAGCATCATTGTCATCCCTCCCATACCCTAACTACCACCTGAGTAGCCTCCTGGAACTCCCAGGGCTACAACCCTCAGTTTTGTTCCTACTTCTCTGGCCACTCCTCTCATGGATCAAGCGACAGTAAAGGAGAGACATCCTAGGCAGGGTATACGGAGGATGTAGCCCATGCCTCTGACTCTGAAAGAGAAAGCCAGCCCCCTCCCTCAGAGTGGGCAGGGAATGAGGCCTCGGCTTTACGAACTGACCTGGTTTCTAGTCACTTGGGACGTGTGGGAACAGTTTAGTTCCAAGTCCACAGGGAGCAAGGGGTCATTCACCCTGGAGACATCCCTAAAACCAGTTCCCCACGGCTCCTTCCTGAGAAGCACACTCCTCACACCATCCCTTGCTCCCAACTATATGCTCCAACATCAGTGAAGCCCCTGCTGTACACAGGGTTCCTGTGCACTTCCAACTTGAGGGCCTCTCCTCAACTTGGCGCCTCCCCTGGCTGCCTGGCACACATAGGCCATCTTTGGGTCTCAGATGTGTCCCACCCTCAGAAGTCTCAACCAGTGAAAGTTTTGTTTTCAACTAATGGTAGAGAGGGTTGGGTTTTCTTTTTTAAATTGTTGGCTGATTTTTTTAAGGTCTTTTTTTTCCTATTCACCCTTCTTTCTTCTTTATTTCTTGTCTTCACAAAGCTGGGCCATCAGGACCCCTCTGGGCTTTTCCAGAAAGGTGAGTCTGAGTTAAGGAAAGAGATCCTCCTGTTTTTGTGGGTTTGGGAGGTGGGGGAGGAAAAGAGACAAAGAGGCAAAGGGGTGGGTCTTTGGCCACTGGGTTTATACTGTGTGAATGAAAAGCTGTTTCCAATTTCTCCTCCTCAGGCATGAAGCAAGTCTTGCAGACGGGTGGAGTAGAGGCTGAGTGACAGAACCCTGGCCATGCACGGCGCTGAGGAGCCAAGGATTGGGAGTGCCAGCCATGGCCTCTCAGGGGCCTTTATCCCCTGGGGCTGGTCTCCCCTGTGACCTGTGACTGGAGTGGGTGCCTGCTAAGATGAAGACACATAGCCGCCAATTCTTGGACAACTTTAAACCCTCACAAGCTTAAAGCTCCAGAAGAATCTCCAAATCCTAGAATCTCCCATGGTTGCATCCTAGTCAGGCTGCAGGACACCTGAGGATTGCAAAGCCTGGGACCAAGGAAAACAGGGGCCCCACTCGTCAGCTGAGAAAATGGTGCCTCTGTTTTCCCCATCTGTAGAGCAGCCATCATGACAAGATGGTCCTCAAAGAGTCCTGGTGAGGCCTGAGCTTGATCAATTATGAGAAGTGTTCAGTGTTGTGTGTGCCACATGGAAAATTCGAGTTTAAACATCAGCTACAGGATGATGGTGGATATTTGGAATCCTACATTCTTGGAAACTGTGATTGTTTTGGAAGTAGAAAGTTGCCAAGGCTGAACACCTCAGAAGCATCAGGCCAAGGTGGCCTTGACACCGAGAGGCTTGGGGTTCCTAGGGGCCTCTGGGCTTTCACGAGGATGGCTGCGTTAATACCGGGGGCTTGGTTGGGACCTTCCCAGTAGGGTGGCCTCCAGGCCAAAGTTCTCAGGCCCTCAGTTGTGAGTAAGGCAAGACCTTTTTCCCTTTTTTCACTCACTGATGCTCAGTGCATTCTAGGGGCCAGTGATTCTCAGACTTCAATTCTGTGAATGTGTGGGGGTGGGGGGAGGTTAAACTCCCTGGTTTTTTCTCCATGAAGTAACTTCTATGGCTCTTGTCCTCTGGGTTGGAGGAATGTTCAGAGCACCCCCTTGGGCAGTAAGAGTGATGATGACTATATCAATTCTACCTAAGGGGAAACTTAGGCCTGAAGCAGGGCAAGACCTCTGGAAACCCATGCCTATTCCATTTCTTTCCCTGCTGTTTCCTGCCGGCACACAGGGCCTCACTACCTCTCTTTCTTTCACCAGAGACCCTCAAATATCCTCTCACAGAGTGATGTCTCTGCTTGCCTGGGTTGCCCCTGTGATTTATTTGAGTTCTTTTTCCCTTGTTTTTTTTTTTTTTTTTAAAACTGTGGTTTCTCATGAGCCCTGTTATCTCATTGATACCTCTCACCTCTGTGGTGAGGGGAAGAAATCATATTTTCATATGACTCGTAAAGGGCAAAGAAAAAACCCAAAATTTCAAAATTTCCGTTTAAGTCTCATAATCAAGAAGAGGAGAAACAGAGCGAGAGAGAGTGAGAGAGAGAGAGAGAACTATGAGAACCCCCCCACCCTATACACACTCATCAAAAAAATTGGATTATTAGAAGAGAGAGGTCTGTGGCTTCCACACCGTGGTTTTTCTTCTCGGTATAAAAGCAGTTGTTTTTGATATGTGACAGTTTCCCACAAGCCAGGCTGATCCTTTTCTGTCAGTCCACTTCGTCAAGGTGAGTGTCCCCGCTCTCCCTGGCCCCCGCCCCTCCATAGATGTGGGAGTTCTAAGGGGCCTCTCAGGAGAGAGTCTGAAGTCAGCATTGGGGGGTCAGGGACCCTCCGGCACAGGCGAGATGCAAGCTGCTACTGTCAGGTAAGGTATTTTTACAATAACAATAGTAATAACAAAAGCCTTCGACCTAATGGGTAAAGTACTTAATGTTTGGGCAGAAGACAAATGGACTGATATGTTGGTGGGTAGAATTTTAAAAATATGTCAACTGCCAGCCTGTGTATTTCAGAGTTTTGAACAACTTGAAACACTATCCAAGTATAACTGGAAATTTCAGCTACACCTCTCAGTATCTCCCATCCCTGTCTTGCTCTCACTGTTGCTCTGCCCCTCTCTGCTGCTTCCCTCTTTTCTGTCTTTTGCTAGCTCTGACCATCTTCCCTCTCTCTGGCTCCTCCATTGGGCTGCGCTCCATCTATCTCCTTTCCTCTGTCTCTCTCCTGCTGTCTTATCTCATCTTGCCTCCCCCTCACCCGCCTTGCCACCCAGCAGAGAGCTTTATGTACAGTTGACATTTAATAATAGCATGTTGTAACATCGATGAGGACATTTGCAAGAATGGGCAACAGTTGTGTGTAGCACGGTGGAAGGATTGTGTGATGTTGGGCGAGGCTGAGCCTTGCCTGGACTCGTGCTTCTGGTACATGAGTGCAGACCCTCCTGGGCGCATTCTCACCATCATCATTGTGGTTTAAGCTGTGGGGTCCTACTGCAGGATCTTGGGCGGGGGGTGGCCAGAGTCCATGTCCAGGGACAGAGATCATCATTCAGGGCTGGGGTGAGCTTGTCTCTGCAGGCTTAGCACAGTGCTGGGCAGACTGAACGTGCTCACTCAGTGTTGCCTACTAGTCGTTTTGTTAATCTAATGAGAATCATACTACTGGTTTTGTCCCTGCCTTATTCGATGAGTAGGAGCCCTTTTGGAGATCATTAAAAATTGGTTCAACATTGCTCTGTCATAACTGTCAAGACTGTTCTCGCATTGGTTCAACCATGTGCCGATTATCGGACATTCGTGAGATTTCTAGTTTTCCGCCATGATCATCCTTGATTGGATCCTTGAATTTCTGAAAATGGAATTGCTGGGGCAAAAAGTATGTACATTTTTAAGGTTTCTGACCATCTCTGCAAATTATCCTACCAAAAGGTTGTCCTACTTATGCCCCCTCTACTCAGGCTGCCCCTGCGTAGGTATCATCATTTTTAAATCCCTTCTCAACATCACAAGTCAGAAAAAAATAACTACCCCATCATCAATATTTGTGTTCTTTGATTACTTGCACTGTTCTTGATTCGAGTTTGGTTACTTATATTGGTTAGTGATCATTTGTGCCTTTGGGGTTTTTTTAGTTGCCTGGTCATGTCCTGAATCCTAATAGGGGGGTTCCTGGTTTTTTTTCTAATTGATCTTTCACAGATCTTTATTGAAAAGGATATTGACCTTCCACCAGCCATATATAGCAAATATTTTCTCCCAATTCATCGGGGTTTTTTTTTTCTATTGGTTTACAGTGTTTTGTGATTCTTGTGATGTTTTTATATAATCAAATAGTTGTGTCTTTCCTTCTGTGGTTACTGTTTCTGGTTTTGTGCTTAGAAAGTCCTTTCCCACTTGAAAATGAGATAAATGTTCACCTGTGTTGGCTTCTAGTCTTTTATGGCTTCATTTTTTCCATTTACTGTAGAGGTTAAGAGTGTGGGTACTGGAGCCAGACTGTCTGGAACAAACCCAGCCTCACCTCAAGCCCTCTGTGGGATTTTTAGCCAGGCATTTAACCGCTCTGTACCTCCATTTCCTCATGTACTGTGATAATGGTAATAGAATCTACTTCAGTGGGCAATTCTGAGAATTAAATCTATTAATCATATTATGTATTTAGCATAGGCTCTGGCATACAGTAACCCCAAGATCAGTACTATATATTATTTCTCTCTTTCATGGATCAGGAATTTCTGTTAGGATATATGACGCTGGTAACTTTTCAAACTGGCCAGGGAGGGGTTGGTGGGAAAATGGACTGATTATCCATCCTGTAAATTTATTCTTCTCCTAATTGTCCCAGAAACATTTGTTCGCCAATCTGTCCTCCTCTGCCCCCAAATTCGAAACGCCACATTCATCGCAAACTCAATCCACGTGGATGTTGTGTCTGAGCTTTCTATTCTGCTGTTTCTCCATTACCCTAGGGTGACACGTCTCTGTGACTGCCGCCTTGCAACACCATACATGAACAGCCATAAGCTCCCCCTGGCATTTGCCCATTATCATTCCTTATTTCAGTCCGCATCAGTTCCTCCAGCCCAGCCCAGCAACTGTTCTCATTTAGGTTCTCCTCTCCATCTCCGTGTTGCGTCTTTTCTTGTTCTGCCTCTCATTCCCCGTGTAGGCTATGACTTTCTCCTCTCTCCAGCGCTCCTTCTTTCGGTGTCTCTGTCCCACCGCAGGTCTCCCTCATGTCCCCCTATATCTCTTATTTTCCGTTATCTCTGCTTCCCTGTCCTTTTCTCCATTCTCTTTGCCTCTGTGTATCCCTCTCAGCCAGTGCCCTGGATCAAGGGGCAGTTGTCGATTCCCTGCACACACCTAACAACTCACCTAGACACAGAGTGGGGGCCCTGCCCTTGGCTACTCCACCTTCCCCATCCCTAGTACACAGAGCGACAGACAAGGCCCTGAGCTATGAAGGGGGGCTCTTCTGAGGCTCATACGGGATGCAGTGGCAGAATCAAGACCCAAGTCATATCTCAGGACTCTGGGTGGGACCCTGGCTGTCTCACCCCCGCTGTGGGCCTCAGCTTACTTCTCAGCTCCCATGATGTGAGGGGGGAGGGTTCTGGGATGCCCCCCAGCAGCTGCCATTGCCCCTTCCGCCTTCTCACAGGTTGGCCCCTCAGGCAGGAGGATCCAGTCACAGCACGGGGCCCAGCCTCACAAGAGCTGGGTTGTGGCGCCCCAGAGCCCCATGGGCCAGGAGACTAGTGGCCAGAGGGTGATGTACTGGAGGGATAGACATCAGTCACCCTGCCTGTGGGTCTGGCTGTGGACAGATTTCAGCTGCGACCCCAGGGCAGGTACTGGTTCCTGGGAACCTCTATCTGGGGACCCCTCCAGAGAGCAGAGAGGTGGGCGCTTTACTGGCAAAGGCTGAGGCTTTTCCTGCTCCCTGCCTGAGGGAGGACAAAGGTGTACTGGCACCCTCTCGCGCTCTTCCTCCTTCCCGCTCCATCTCTAGCAGAGCTGGGGTGATTTGGGGAACATAGTTCAAGCATGGACAGGAAGACTACAGGTATCCACTTACACCTTGTTAAACATTTCATGTGTGTTAACTTTGGAAGATGGGTACTGTTAAACTGTCCCAACTCACACATGCTTTTGAGGCAAGTGACAGTGGCAGAACCCGGCCCCAGGCTGGGGGGAATGGAAGGGGTGATTCTGACCTTCCCGCCTTCATGGAACTTGGGAAGGAGGCTGAGGGAAGGCTTGCTGCAATCCCATGTAGGTGGGAAGCCCTATCAAGTCATGAGTTTCAAGTCCTTCAGGGAGTTCCAGCGAGTTTGGGTACCAGGGACACTGGCTTTCATGCATTGAGAAGACGGGCCCATGGGCCCCCCAGTCTATGGGTTGGAGATCCTGGGAACCTTTGAATCTGACAAGTAATGTTCTGGCATAGCACCATTTGAAGACCCCAAGGGACCCAGTACCTGTGGGCACCCCCTGAGAATCAAACCTTGGGCCTCCCCATGGTCCAAGAAGGGCCAGGATCACAGGCCCTAGGGCTTGTCACGGTGGCCATATGGACATCACCCACCACATCCGCCAAGCCAGCTGCAGGATGGGCAGCCAATTCTCGGAACGAAACTCGTGGGGTGGGGTGTCTACACCCTTCTCTTCCTCCTGGGTGCTGATGAAGCCCAACGCATCCGGCCGCCATGACGTCAATGGCGGAAAAATCTGGGGAAGTCGGGGGCTGTGACAACAGGGCCCAGATGCAGACCCCGATATGAAAACACAAGCTGTGTCCCAGAAACATCCTCCATGCAGCTTCTGAGAAACAGTCAGAAAGGGACGCCCCAACAAACAGTGCAGGAAGCCAGATGCCCAGCCTGGCCTTCCAGGTACCCCATCACCAGGCAGTCCATATCCACATCCCCTTTCTGAGAATGTATTGTATCTATACTTCGAGTTCCAGGTGTGCCTGGGGAGGAGATTTCTTAAACACTCTGACCAGGTGTCCAGGCAGCTTCATAAGTGACCATGGGCCAGTCACGTGGGACAGGCCAGGACGGTGGGAAAACATCCACTCACCAAAATCAGAATCTGTTTGCTTGGGCTTCTGTAACAAAGCACCACAAGCGGCGTGTTTAAACAGAAATGCACTGTCTCACGGTTCCAGAGGCTAGAAGTCTGAGATCAACATGGGGCCGGGAGGGAGGATTTGGGCCTCTCCCCTGGCTTCTGGCTTACTGCCAATCTGTGGCATTTCTTGACAGGTAGAAAATCATTTTGATCCCACTCATTCATTCACTCACCTCCTCATGGTCATTGATGTTCTCTCAGGCCCTCTTTCTCCCAGGCTCCTGATTCTCACACGATCATGTTCTAATCCCTGAGAGACTAAGGGTTTACTATTTGAATTCTTACACCCACCTCCCTCAGCAACACAGCGCTGACAGCTGACGGCAGAGGAAGGAAGGAGTGCTGCTCCCCCAGAGCTCCCCTGTACTGTCTTGGGCTACTATCAGCAACTGTGCCCAACCAGTGCTGTGGGGTGGGGACACACACACACACACACACACACACACAGAGCTTGTCCCACAGCAGGGGGCTTGTGACATGTACACACACGCAGTTTCTGGAGAGAAGTGGAAGTCTCAAATCACTTTGGGAGCACTGCACCTGGGGGTCCCCCTCAGTACAATGCACATTGGGCTGGGAGGTCCCTTCCAGCACTGGCTTCCTCTCAGACTGGGACTACAGGATTCTGAGAAACCGAGGCCCTGCGCACTGCAGAGCGAAGGCCCTGAGGCTCAGCAGAGGTGCCTGGAGCCATCATGGTGGATTTTCTGGACAGGGTGAGCTCGGCTAGGGGAAGAGGAGGAGGAGTGGGGCAGCCAGGCAGGATGGACAATGTGAGCTCAACTCGCAGGCAGACCTGGGGAGCAGAGATTGGGGTAGATTCTAGTGGGGGCTGAACTGAAGCGCTCTCACAGGCCCTGGCTGGAGCGCCTGTCTCTCTTCTCTGGCACCTGCCATGCCAGCTCTGTGCAGGACAGGAGCCCAGAGGTGATCAGACTCCACCCCTGCCTAAGCTCCAGGCTCCCATACTCAACTGCTCATTCAGCATTTCCACTCCCATGTCTAATGCCAGACTTCAGGTACATCTGTTAATACACCTGGATCACCACTCATCATCAGCCCTGCTCCCCTATCTCCCCAATCTCAGGTAAAGTCAGTACTGTCCTTCCAGCTGCTCAGACTAATGCCCAGAAATCACCTGGACCCTCCCTCTCTCCCCACCACATCCAAGCTATCAGCAAATTCTCCTGACTGCACCTCCCAAACACACTCAGAATGCACCCACTCTCACCATCTCCACTGCCACTATCCTGCTCTGTGCAACCATGACCGTGTACCCCGACTACTGCAGTTGCTGCCTCACTAAACCCCCTGCTTCCACCCTCACCTTCCTAGAGTCTGTTTCTCTCGTGGCAGCCAGAGAGATCTTTTGAATCCGTGCCCCCCACATACACCTCATGGATATGCCTGAGTCACTGGCGTCAAACAATGCTCCCAGGAGAAAGTCCAGCTGCCAGCCATGGTGGGCTCTGAGGTTATATGGCCTGGGAAGGACATGGAGACAACTGGAGGGCCGAGGCATGAAGACAAAGCTCAAGTAGTAGGGGGAGGGAACTGAGACCTACCCTGGCTGAGATCCCTCAAACTATCCAGAATCCCCCACCATCCTCATGGAGGACACATCCAAACCAGGGCTATGCCAGCATGCACAGGCAAGTGTGTGCTGGACCTGTGGACATGGGGCATATGTGGGGACACATGTTCCTAACACCAGTGTGTGGCTAGGACAGGGCCCAGCCAATGCCTGCTCTGACTTGAGGAGGTGTGTACATGGTTCAGGTGGTTGACTATTTTACACCCCTTCTCCTCCCAGTGCACATGTAACTCCTTCCTGCTATGCCCCACAGCCTACCCTCGGACAAGGACCCAATGCCCAACCCCAGGCCAGCCAAGCCCTCAGCCCCTTCCTTGGCACTCGGCCCATCCCCAGGAGCCTCACCCAGCTGGAGGGCTGCACCCAAGGCCTCAGACCTGCTGGGGGCGAAAGGCCCAGGGACAACGTTCCAGGGCCGGGACCTCCGAGGTGGGGCTCATGCCTCCTCCTCCTCCTTGAACCCCATGCCACCATCACAACTGCAGGTGAGGCCCATGGCCCAGGATGGGGCAGGCAGGGTGGGGTACCTGGGCCTACAGGTGCCGACCTTTACTGTGGCACTGAGCGGGGGGCCCAGCTGGGGCACAGGAAGTGGTTTTCTGGGTCCCAGGCAAGTCTGTGACTTATGCAGATGTCATAGGGCCAAGAAAGTCCCCACTGAGCAGGTCTCAGAGATCCGAGGCTCTCAACCTCCCAATCCTTGTCTCAGGAGAGGAGACCCGATCATGGTCCAGAGGCCTAGCCATGTGTCCCCACACACAAGTGACAGAGGAGAGGGCTGAGGCCCAAAGAGGTGGGGGTGACACAGTGGAGGCCAGCTCTGCTCCTTATTAGCTGTTACATCTCGAAAAAGTCCCTCAGTCTCCCAGAGCCTGTTTCCACGAATGTAAAATGAGGATGGCACAGCACCGAGCACGTGCGGTTGTGGCGGATCAACTATGGATTAGACACATAGAACAGTGAGGATGGGGATGGCATCTCACCTACCTGCCTTCTCCCTGCAGCTGCCCACAGTACCCCTGGTCATGGTGGCACCCTCCGGAGCCCGGCTGGGCCCTTCACCCCACCTGCAGGCACTCCTCCAGGACAGGCCACACTTCATGCACCAGGTACAGACCATGAATGGCAGTGAGGAGGGAGCAGGTGGGAGAACTGAGGAGGGGGCCAGTCTGAACCATGCCCATCTGTACCCCCAGATCTCAACAGTGGATGCCCATGCCCGGACCCCTGTGCTGCAGGTGCACCCACTGGACAGCCCGACTATGATCAGCCTCCCACCACCAACTGCTGCCACCGGCGTCTTCTCCCTCAAGGCCCGGCCCAGGCTGCCACCTGGTAACACCACACCCTGCAGCTCCCCAGAGCCCCCAAGTACTTGAACGTAGTCGTGTAAGCTGCTGAACTGCAGCCTTCAGGAGGTCGGAGGTGTCAGGTCTGATCATCTTGGAAACTCCAACCTCCAAAAAATGTCAGGCTCAGAACCTTAGAGATGCAGAATGTCAAAATCACAGAACCACAGATCTTTGCAAAGTTAGTCAAAATGTCAGCACTTGTGAGTGGCTGTCTGAGCTGCCTCACCAGAAGCCGAGGATATTAGAGACAACAAAGGCCCTGAGAGTTGGGGCTCAGGAGGTGGGAAGCTCAAAAGACAGTTTGTCGACCAGGCTCCAGAGCCCAGCCTGCAGTCTCCTGAGGTGTCCTGTCCCACTCTGCAGGGATCAACGTGGCCAGCTTGGAGTGGGTGTCCAGGGAGCCAGCACTGCTCTGCACCTTTCCAGGGCCTGCTGCACCCAGGAAGGACAGGTCAGTTGGCAGGGCTGGGAAGGACCCTCTCCCTGCCATCCCCTTCCCTGACACCCTCTGTCCCCTGCCCCCCAGCACCCTCTCAACCGCGCCCCAGGGCTCCTACTCACTGCTGGCCAATGGTGTCTGCAAGTGGCCTGGATGCGAGAAGGTCTTCAAGGAGCCAGAGGACTTCCTCAAGTGAGCAGCCCTGATCCATTGCAGTCCAGAAGGCACCAGATTGTGGGAGGAGGTCTGGGATGCAGGTTTCAGCTCAGGCCTCATCCCCATAGGTATTAAGATGAAAGAGTGGGTCTCCCTGGTGGCGCAGGTGGTTGAGCGCAGCGCTGTGAAGCTGTCTGCAGCCTCTGCAGTGCCGGTTCAATCCCCACTGGCCGTGGAGATACCCACATGGTGGGGCAGACCTCTCTTGTCTCGCCTGCTGCTCCCCTCAGCAGTATATTTCAGTCAGTCTGCCTGTTCTGCTCCCCACTCTGTCTCTGGTGAATCCTCTCACCCTCCCGCACATCTGGCCTGTTCCCTGGTTCTTGTATAAACAAATAAACCTTTAAAAAAAAAAAGATGAAAGAGGCAGAATCTAAGACTGTGGATTCAGATCCTGCTCTGCCATTCACTGGCTATGTGACCTGGGGGAAGTTACTTAACTTCTCTGGGCATTGATTTCCTCATTTGTATAACGGGGCACGTTAATACAGGTATATGCTACTATTTACCTCCATTTTACAAAGTGAGGCCAGAGAGGCTATGTGTGTTGACTAAGATCACCTAGTTCCTGAGTGATGGAGCTGGGATGTGAACCCGGATAACCAGGCTTCAGAATCCATGCTCCTGTTTTGCCCTGCTACCTCTCCTGCCAACACACAAGCCTGATTTTATTCATCCTCAAAGTTCCAGCTCCTTACGATGGCTGTTGCTACCTCCCCTAGGTGCCCCCCAACCTTCTCTAACCCAACTGCTAGCAGCAACTCAATGTACCCTATCCTCTTGCCCACCAGTCCTTCCCACAGCCTGCCCCCTCCTCCTGGAATGCCTCTCCTGTGTGCATCTGCCTGGCCCCCTGTCAGCTCACCACCATCCCAATATCCTCTCCCACACCCTGGCCAGGCTCAGGTGACAAGCTCCAGCCTGGCACGCAGTAGACACCAAGCAGCTTAGGTTAAAGGAATGACAGACGTGAGGGGGGAGACTGAGGTAGGAAGGAGAGGGGAACTGGGACTCTGAGACACCGCTCAGAGGTTCTGAGCCCTCCCAACTTGGAACACTGAGGCAAGAGGCCAGACCCGCCATGGTCACCTGCACTGATTCTCCCCCCTACCCAGGCACTGCCAGGCGGACCATCTCCTGGATGAGACGGGCAGGGCACAGTGTCTCCTCCAGAGGGAGGTGGTGCAGTCTCTGGAGCAGCAGGTGATGTGGGTGGGGGGGATGGTGGGCAAGCTTCGCATTCACCCTGTGACAGGAGCCAAACACCCAGGATGGGGGTTGGCCTAAGGGAAAAAAGGGGTTTAGGCACTCCCAGGGAATACTGGGCAACGCTGTGACAGTGAAAGGCCAGGCTGAGGCCTCACTCTGTGCCTGTCCTCACAGCTGGTGCTGGAGAAGGAGAAGCTGGGTGCTATGCAGGCCCACCTGGCTGGGAAGATGGCCCTGACCAAAGCTCCATCTGTGGTGAGTCACCCCCAGCTCAGGGGAGACAGAGATGCTGGGAAGAGGGAAAAGGAAAGTCTCTGAAATCTCTGGGCCCTGTCTCTGGCTCCAAACGCAGCCAGACTTGGGACTATCCCCTCAGTTGCAAACCCTCCAACCCCATGGTCCTGAAACATCATGACCTTCAATTTTCAAAGCAATAACAAATAGCCACAACACTGAATGTAGACCACATGCCGTGGCAGGCACAGCTACATAACCCACATTGCAAAATGAAAATGTGGGGGTCAAATTTCAAGATGGTGACCACAGTGGGGAGCCTTGCCCAGGTTACACACCCATGAAGCCATCCCTGGCTGCCAGGCACCACTTCTGAGCTGCTAACTTATTCAATCCTTATGATGCCACTGTGAGGTAGGTATGACAGGCAAGGGAAATTAAGGCTGGGTGACTTTCCCAGTCATGACTGGGTGGTAGAGGAGCCCAATTCAACCCCTACTTGTGGCCTCAGCATCGGCATGCTCTACACTCAAGCATCCACACCACAGCTCATGCTGCCTCATGGCATTGCACGTCAGAATGGAATTGAGGATGTCCTTACTTTTAAAGATATTCACTTATTTAAAGGTCAAGTAGACCTGCCTTGTTAGTGCAGCCGGCAGCACATCGGTGTCATAAAAGTCAAGTTGAAAGTTGAAGCCGACAGGTCACGAGCCTATCCCTCCTCCCCCAGGCTTCATCTGATAAGGGTTCCTGCTGCATCGTAGCTGCTGGCACCCAGGGCACTGCCGTCCCAGTCTGGCCTGGCCCCCAGGAGGCCCCCGACAGCCTGTTTGCTGTGCGGAGGCACCTCTGGGGCAGTCATGGAAACAGCACTTTCCCAGGTAGGGATGGTCTTCACCCTACACAGTGGCCCTAAGCCCCCTGACTGGCACTGGGTGGGGTACAGAAAGGAGCTCTGTACTGCTCATCCCCACCATCCCCCCAACTTTGATTGCCAAAGCTTTCTCTCAAGCTTCCCACGGCCTGCAAGCCCCCATTATGGTTCCTAATGTCTTGCCCTGTCTCCGTAGGGATTGGGGCTCACTCACTCTAGGCTTCAGCACCTCCCTTTGGTCATCAGACAGGTGGACACTAAGTAGTTCCCAGTGACTCTCCCTTCCTTTATGCTCTCCAAGGAAAAGCAGGGTGACTGGCCCCAGCTCACTAATCCCACTACTCCCCACAAAGCCTGGGCTATGGGCTTAACGATCAGGGCCCTTGAATGTCATCCTGGCTCTGCCACTTACCCAGTCACATCCTTTGGGTATGCAAGTTACTTCACTTCTCTCAAACCTCAGGAAGAATAGGCCCCGTTTGAGGGGATAGGAGTGTTGCAAAAATTAAATGATACCATTTACATCAAGTACTCCACAAACTAGCTGTGTTCATGGACACTGGTGTTAACGTGTAGATTCTAAATGGTACAGCAGGGGTGGGAAGGGGAGCAAGGGGCCCTGACGAGGCCTGGTTCTCCACCCCCCTCAGAGTTCTTCCACAACATGGACTACTTCAAGTTCCACAACATGCGGCCCCCCTTCACCTATGCCACCCTCATCCGCTGGGTAAGAAGCAGCTCAGGCCCAAGGAGAAGAAAGAGAAAGAGGGCATGGGGACCTGCCTCCCAAACTCCCAGCATCCCAAGTAGGATCCTGCATGAAGCCATGCCTCAGATGTGCTCCCCCCATGCTGGCTTCACCCCAGACCTGCCCCAGAACCCAAACCTCAACCACCATCCAGACCAGCACAAGCCAAATTCTGTCCCTAACCCCAAACCCTTTCCTGTTGGCCCCCTCAACCCCACACCTAATCCACTCTCAGCCTATAAGTAGTTCCAGAACTAACCAATTAGCTGTCTCTTGGCCCAAATCCACCCCAAGTATTCCCCTAACTCCTTCTCCAGTCCCAACATGCTGTACTAAGTTACCACATCCCCTGCTGGACCCCATCCCTAACCCCTTCACCTATGTGGACATGGGGTGACAGGTCATAGGGTAAAGAATGGGGTGAGGATGGGACTGGGATGGGGTATGGTAGAGGATCAAGGATGAGCTTGAGCAGCCTTAGAACACCCTTCTGACTCTCAGCCTCTGACTCTTAGTCCCAACACTTTCCTCTGACCCTCCCCAATGGCTTTCCAGAACCTGAAGCACAGCCCAGGGGACCTTCACCCTAGGCCACCACCTAACCCGACAGCACCCTACACCTTCGACCCATCTGGCCCGGTCCTGCCCCAGAATGCATTGCTGCTGCAATCTGACCTTTTACTTAGCCCTTCCATAAATCCAAACATCAAATCCTGACCCCAAGTCTAACCCCACACCTAACTCTAGCCCTGCTCCTTAACAACCTTGCACAACTAACCTCGATTCCACCAGAACTATCCTCGTTCTTGACCCTGAACCTAACCCATCCCTGACACACAAAAAGAACTAGAAAACTAGACCCCTCTGACTTCTGACCTCAGGCCATGCATCATCCCATTCCTCACCCCTCTACTTACCACAGTCCACTCCCACCTGACCCTTAACCAACCCTCCTCTGACCTTTAACTCTGCCTGGTCTTTGCCCCTTCCAAATCCTCAACTCAACCCCACTCCTGGTCTTTAACTTTCCCAAAACCCTGAAATCTCACCCAACAGAGACCCCAACTCCATGCCAGACCTGTAGACTAACTCCAGCACTAACCCTGACTCAGGCCTGCTCAAGCTCAGCCTTGATCCTCTACCATACTCACCCAACTCCTTATCCAGTCTCTGACCTGTCACCCCACACCATCTCCCTCTGCCCCATCCCCGTAATTCCACCCCATGTCAGATGGCCCAGGGTGGGTTACTGCCCTTCTCGGCCCAACTTCAGGGGAGCGGCTCCCCTTACCCAACACCCCCAACCTCCAGGCTATCTTGGAGTCTCCTGAGAAGCAGCGGACACTCAACGAGATCTATCACTGGTTCACACGCATGTTTGCCTTCTTCCGAAACCACCCTGCCACCTGGAAGGTGAGCGTCTTCGGGGCTAGCAGTGGCTGGATGGTCATCACACCACCACGGTGCTGGGCCAAGCTCAGGAGCAAGCGGGCCTGGGGCTAGGGTTGCAGGTTTGTTGGGAAGGAGCAGGTCGTCGGGTTTGGGGGGGGGGGCGGGGACTGCTGACCTCAGAGGCTAACTGCCTGCTCACTCCCCCTGCCCCGGCCTGGCTGGCTGGTCCTCCTTCCACAGAATGCCATCCGACACAACCTGAGCCTGCACAAGTGCTTTGTGCGGGTGGAGAGTGAGAAGGGGGCAGTGTGGACCGTGGACGAATTTGAGTTCCGCAAGAAGAGGAGCCAGCGGCCCAGCAGGTGTTCCAACCCCACACCTGGTCCCTGACCTCAAATCCCAAGAAAGAAGGAAGGACGGGGGCCAAAATGGGGGGAGGGGCGTAAGTGGCTAGGGACAGGGATGACAGGCCCTGGACGTGCCTGCGGGGACCAAGAAGTGAGGTGTGCATTGTCTTGCCTGCGAGGGACCCTACTCCCCAGATGACTGCGCTCCTGGATCATATGGTCTACACCAAGCCTGCTCCAAGGGGCTCTGGCCCTGAACCCCCACCCCAGGCAGAAGGGTCTCCAGCCAAACTGAGTCTTCACACCCAAACACACCCAGCCTGCCTCAGTCACTGTAACAGGCAGCCTTGGGGCTGGAAAAATCCCACAGTCCATCACAGTCCTGCCCCTGGACACCACACAAACCTCCCAAACTCAAAAAGCCTGTCTCAGCACACTCAAATCTGCAGTCACACCACCACCCCCTAGCACAGTCCTGTCCACCCTGTCCTGTCCACAGCAGCCTCTGGGCCCAGGGGTGCACACAGGCTGCACCCAGATACCCACTCAGAAGCAGCCTTGGTACCCTCAGGATCTCAAGTGCCAGAAAACCCCAGACACACAGCTGTCACGCAGCGTCATACCATTTACAACATACACTCGGTCACAGAGCCCATTAAAACTTGCCTGGGCATCTGGTGTGCATGCGCTCCCGACAGTACCCCAGTGCGTCCCGAGTCCCACTCAGACGTGCCTGGCCACACACACACTGATTGGCCAAAATGTCTCCCCTGCCTCCCATCCCTCTTCACCCTGAGCCCCCATCCATGCCTCAGCTTAGACTGCATACAGAGCCCTCATTTATTTGGGATCCAAAGCCCAGTGCCCTCCCCAATAAACTATAGCCGAGTTCCCACACTCTGGATGGTCACCCCAGATAAGGGTTGCGGGCCGGTGGGAAGGGGTCTGGGTCTAAGGCCACAGCAGGCAAAACTGGACAGCAAACAGAGGGAATGGCTAGGGCAAGCCTTGGCTAGAGCCTTCAACACCCCCAAATTCCTGCCTAAGGCTGGGGGAGAGACCTCTGCTGGGGAGTCCTCAGGCCTCACGGACCCTTCCCAGGAGGCCAGCATTCTCCTGGCGAAGGGCTCGGTAGTCCTCTCGGATCTTCTCCAGGTTGCTGAGAGTCTTCTTGCCCATCTCCGTCTCAATCTAAGGCAACGCGAATCAAGGCCTTTCAGCACACAGAGCCCCTTTCCCAGCTCCTGCTCACCACCCCTCTCCATTACAGACCCAGGGCCCCTCCCATGCTCCTCCCACCACCAGGCCGTTGCACGTGCCATGAGGCCACCTAAAGCAATCCTTTGCTACGTGGCAGGATTAGCCACCACATACTCAAGCTGCAGCCTCGGCCCAGGGAGACAGATATGAGGACCCTCAGGCGGGAGCTGGGGCTGAGTAGGGCACCGGCCTGTCAATTCATACACATAGCTATGAAGGGGAAGGACTGGAACTCCAGCCTTGATTGTTGCCACTGCCTCTCTGCGTCGACCCAGGAGCTGTCCCAGGCCTGCCTTGTGTCCCTCCCATGGGCCCCCCAGACCTTACCTGCTCCTCCAGGTCCCGAACCTCCCGCATGATGGTGCCTGTGTCCTCGATGGTCTGGATGAGCTGGCTACAGTTCTGGGGACAGCAAAAGCAGAAGCTTGCACCTCAACCTGGCCCCACGCCAGCCAGCCCCCCCCCCAGGCACGATTCTCCCCTCACCTCATGCAAGGCAGCTAGATACTTGTAGGCCTTCCGAACGGCATCATCCTTCTTAGCATCCTGACCAGATAGAGGGGAGCTCGAAGGCGTCAGTGGGTTGTGCTGACCTGCCTCCCATCACACTACCTCCCATCACCCCCGCAAGCAAAGCCAAGCCCGAGTAGGCCGGCCCCGCCCCAACCCTCCTCCAGGCACCGCCTTCCCCACACCTTAAACACGAGTTCATCGGTCACTGCAAACGTCCGGTCCAGCTTTCCAGACAGGGAGTTAATTTCCTTCTGAAGCTCCTTCGTGTCAGACAAGATCTGGCAGAGACCAGGGTGGCCATGAGCCCGTGTCTGGGATGGCCAGCAGGCCAGTCGAGGACTCTCACGTGTACTCATGTCCAGTCAGCACACATGTCGCTGCGTCGGGGGTGGCTGCAGTGGACTATGTGCAACTATTCTATGTGGGGGGGTGGCCAGACAGCTCTACCTGTCAGAGGGTGTGGGGTCCCACACAGCCAGGCCACACATACCATCCCTCGAGTTCCACTGCCCACATGACCCGCCCACCAGGTCACAGACGCACACCTTAGTGATCTCCTCCTTCTGCTTCCGGATGTTGCCCACAATCTCCAGGATGCGTTGGGTATAGGCCAGCCGGGACACGTCTCTGGGCAGGGTCTCAAGCTCTGACACCTAAGCAGGGACATGGCAGGCACTCCCCCAGTACCCGCCCCCACCCACTTCTAGCCATCCAGGGCCCCCGATGGGCCTTACCAACTGCTTGTAGACTTCCTCCTTCCTGCGAGCCTCTTCGGCAGCTGCCCGGACACTCTGGTGCAGCTCCTGGATCTCTGCCAGACGTCGAGAAGATTCCAGCTGCCAGGACCCCATGAACAAAGGACAGTGAGAAGAGGACTGGCCCCCTAGATTGGAACCAAACCCAGCCCACCCATAGCCCGGGACCCCACCACCTACCTCTCTGCAATCCTGGAGCTTCCGAAGGTGGCGGTACTCAGCGAGGAGTGGGACCCGGTGCTTTTCCCACTGACCCGCCAAGTGGATGACCCGCTGGGCACTACTCTCTACCACGAGCTAGGGGTGATAGTAAAGGGGTATGTGTCATACAGACTGGGTCCTTGCAACTCCTACCCTCCAGGGCCAGCACCAACCCTACCTGTAGCTTGGCAAGGTTGGCAGCCCCATCAGGCAGCAGCTCTACCGCCCGGCTCTTCAGGCGCAGGGCCTGCTCGTGCTCTGCTGTGCTGAGCTCGCTCTGCCGACACTCGGTCTCCACCTAGCACCGCACAACCCACTCTCAGTGACTAAGGAAGACCACAGCCTCCAAGCCCCACTGAGCCTGGAAAGCCCTGGCCTAGTTCTAGCCCCCACAGAAGACAACACACTCCTTTAGCACCCATAGGTCCCTCACCCCCAACCCCCAAGAGGGCAAAGACCCGAAAGCACTGACTGGCATCCATGGGGCTCTTTCACCGTGCTACCTCCACATTACCTCAGGGCCCCTAGGAGCCCTGAGGAATTCCACAAGCCCATACCTGTATAGACCCGTATTTCCTCCACTGAAGCCCTCAGACACTCAAACCCCTCCTGATTCTCAGATACCTGGAAAGTCCAAGGGATGCCCACAGGTGCCTCTAACCTCCCAACAAGCTCTCCACTCCTACCCCCATCCCTGCATCCCCTTCTCACCACCATTGATTCTTCTGAACCTCACAAGTCCCACAGGTCCTCAGCACCCACCACAAACTCTTCTGGCATCTTCAGACCTCCACAGAATACCTCTCAGCCCCCTCAAGTCCCACTAAGCTCTCTGGGCCTGACCTGTGACCTGGCCCCAGGCAGGTGGTCCATCCCCACTCCACCTGCATGAGGCTGATCCCTAGCGTCTTCATGTTGGCTTCGACTTCTTCGATGTTGTGGTTCACTCCCTCCAACTGCTCCCGAAAGGACTCCAGCTCCTGCTCTCGAGTTGCCCGCATGTCCTAGAAGGCATAGACAAGTTGGGGTGGGAGTGTCAGGCCTAGCAGACAGGCAAGGGCCCAGGGCACCTCCCAATGCTCTGCTCACCAGTTCAGGTTGCTGGGAGGGGGCTGGCACATCTGACACCTGGGCTGTGTGGGGCTCGGACTCCTGGGGGAGTGAGCAGGGAGCATGCCAGCTGTGAGGAAAGGCCCTGCCCCTACCAGCCCCCCAAGCACCCTCCCAACACCACAGCCACACCTACACAACCCACTGGGACAACGTGAGGATCGTGGCATTTCCTGCAACCTCAGACTACACCGTCTGCTCAATAAGGAAACCTCCCTGCCCCTGACACAGCTCCTGCCCACCTGCCCCATCGCTGAAGCCCCAACTGCCCAGGAAAAGGATGAGGGCCCTGCTGGGTGACCATCTGAGGAGAGACAATAAGGCCAGAGGAAACTGCCTGGAGAAAGCTGGGGCTTGCACAAACAGCACCTTCCACCCTTACATGGGTCCCACCCCTCCACCCTTTCTCCACTGAAGTCCCCAAGAGGCCAGGGGACCCCTCTGGGAACACCCAGTGGGAACACGGGAACCTGCCTAGGTAAAATGGGGTATTTGTACATAAAGCAACCCTCTGAGCTGCCCTCAGCCCCATCAGCATGCCCACATCCATGCAGGCCTACCCACCAGATGGAAGGTGAACTTCTCTGAATGCGTGAATCGGGAGCCCTTAGGAGCATCAGTCCTGGCCCCAGAACCCCAGGCCTGCAGCAGCTCTCCCAGGTCTCGGGCAGGGTGGGGCGCCCCCAGCCGATCCCAGGTCTGGCGCAGTTGCTCAGCCAGGTGCTTGTGCAGACGCTGTCGATGTGCCCGTATATCCTCCTGGAAACAGAGCGCAAGAGGATGTGGCAGCCAGCTGGGCGCCCAAGGCCCTGCCTCTTCCCTGTCAGGGAGTCGCCTGACAGGGTGCTGCCAACAAGTCACACCCAGGCTCTGGCTTCTCCCACCAAGGGGACCTCAGCCCCACTGCCCACCCCACCGGTCTGAGATTTCCTGAGGACAGTTGGGGGTGGGGGGGGTTCCCGTTCCCACACTGAAGGAAAATATGGGAAGTGGAGTGATCCTGCAGCCATGGAGCCAGAGAGTGACACTAAACAGATGTGAGAGGACAAAGCTAAGACAGAGAGAAGTGCTGGGCAGAAGAGGCAGAGGCAGAGACTGGAATTGACAGAGACAAGGAGAGTCAGTTTTCAAACAACTGGGGAGGTCTGATTATGAATTCAGTGTTACAGGGTAATAAGAGATCATGTTAATTCTCTTAATGGCCCAGGAAATGGGCCAGGGCTTATATTAAAGAGTAAATGTCC